TCAGAGACAGGAATACTGACAATTTTGTTATGAAGTTAATTGTTATATAATGCAAATTAAAATTTCCAGATATTTAGTGTTTATTTCCAGGTATTTTAGAGATAAAAAAATCAAGTTATAACTTTTTAAAATATCTAACATCTTTACAATAAATTTTCTCACAGACTTGCTTTTCACATGTAAGAGTTCTACAAATGTAACATTGTCTGAAGCAATAAGCATTGCAAGTGCATGACGCCTTGAAGATACAAATCAAATTGGGAATGGAGATCTTCTCAGCGTCGCTGGTGTTATGTATAAGAGTGTCCATTGCCCCAACTCCTTTCTCTGTCACATTCCCACTCACAACTCATCAGTCTTTACTTTCCACAAATACATAGATCTCTATATGCTTTGTTTCCATCTTTTGGACCTTATACTAAAAGGAACTAACCTCCCTCCAGAATGGGCTGTTCGAGCTGGGAGAAAATTGCTGCATAATAGCACTGGAGACTCCTAGCAAAGTCTCCTTGGAGCTCACATCCCTCCCCATCCACCAGTGCCGATTTCCCCAGATGAAAGCATTTCAGAATAGAGTTCACAGTCTTGGATATAGGGCAGATGGTGCCTCTTTGCATTCTGCTACTTTTGACAATGGGTCCAGCTTTCTTATACAATTGTGTCAACCCAAAGCCCCATGCTCAGAAGCCTCAGTCGGAAATATAGGAAATTGCTAAATGAAGTTGCAACAATAGGAAAGGACTTCCCTAGACAAGGACACCCACAATTGTTCCTCTGTGTGAGGACCCATATCTAACATGGCCAGGTCTCTTGTGTGTGGTTTTATACTGCTGCTATAACAATCACAGTGTCTTATAACAACACAAATAGATTGTTTTATAGTTCCAAAGGTCAGAAGATTTTTCTATTCCTATGTTAACAACTACCAGCATCCCTCAGTCCAAAGGACTTTCCTCCAAGTATGTTCAGGACAGTCAAGCACCTCTCTTTGTCCTCTGACTTCTCTCCCATAAGAACCATGTGCTGACACAGATCCACCTGACAACACAGGATAATGGCTTAGGGTCTTAATCACTTCTGTGGAATTTCTTTTCTGTGGAAGGTAGCATATTACGTAGGTCCCAGAGGCTTGGAGATAGGCACCTTGGGGAGAGGCCTATGGTCTATCTGTATGTTAATTTGTAAGCTAACAAATAATTCTGAGGTTTGTAGCACTGTGAATGCTAGTCCAACAGGTATCTACAAGGAACTGAGAGGGGAGAGACTAGTTCTTCAGCCTATGAGTGCTGACATCCGATTTAAACAAACCACCTGGGGTTTGTTTTGTTTTGTTTTGTTTTGTTTTGTTTTGTTTTGTTCTGTTTTGTTGTTTTGTTTCAGCTCTGGCCTCTTGCCTTTTTTGTTCATGTGCATAAATGCCTTATAGACATCTTGGTTACTGAGGAGCTGGGCAAGAAGTTTCGTTCCCAGACTTATGCCTATTTTTTCCTCCCACTTAACAAAATTAATGACAGATGTTTATCTATTAAGTATTTCTTACTCTTTGAAAGTTTGATACACTTTTTTTTTTTTTTTTTTTTTTTTTTTTTTTTTGGGTTTCCGAGACAGGGTTTCTCTGTATAGCTTTGGAGCCTATCCTGGCACTCGCTCTGGAGACCAGGCTGGCCTCGAACTCACAGAGATCAGCCTGCCTCTGCCTCCTGAGTGCTGGGATTAAAGGTGTGCGCCACCAACGCCTGGCAGTTTGATACATTTTTAAAGGTTAAAAACCATCATGTAATGTGTACATGCAGCATGTGCGTGCAGGAGCCTGAAGAGACCAGATACGGTGTGGGTTTCCCTGGAACTAGAGTTACAGGCGTTTGTGTGCCACCAAGTTAAGTGCTGAGAAATAAACACTCATCCTCTGTGAGAGCAGTGAATGCTCTTAACCTCTGAGCCATCCCCTCAGGCCCTGTTTCATATATTTACACAACGTATATTGATAAGTTTCACCTGTCACTTCAACTCTTCCTCCCTTCCTCTTGCCTCTGTTCTTCCCCCCTCTCTCTTTCATCCTAGTTTTATATTTTGACAACAAACATTTATTGAGCTCTTTTTCTAAGCACTTCATATGCATCCACTCTGTCAATTCTCTATCCCCACCCCAGGGACTGAACTCAGGACCCCAGGTGTACATGTGCTCCACCACTGCCTTACAGTCCCAGCCCTCATTTTTAATGTCCGTTTTATAGATGAAACATTTGAAGCTTTGCATTGCCAAGCCACAATACCATAAAGGGAGTCTGAATCATGTTGTTGGAATCTTAGCCTTCAAGGAAGCAGTAGGCATGGATACTAACAACCCTTACACTTAAAAGCCAAGGAGCCCTCATCTTACCTTTTATTTGAGATGAGATCCCACCAAGTTCTCAGGATAGCTTTGAATTTCTGATCCACCAAGTGCTATGATGGCAGGTCTGTGCATTCACCATACTTGCTCTTTTACTTATCTGTTTGCTTGCTTATTAAGATGTGTTTCACTTTGTTGTCCAGGCTGGTCTTGAGCTCTCAATCTGCCTGCCACAGCTTCCCAAGTGCTGAGATTACTGGCATGCACCAGCAGGTCCAGCTTCTCTTAGTTCTTGTTAGAAATAACAAATGATGTTGCGTTTTCAAAGGTGCCTCAAGCTATATCTATGTCCAGCTAGAAATGAACAGAGAACACTAAAGCTGTGCTAATGCCTGATAACACAAATTTTAGTTATTCTTTCCCCACCCAAACTATGCTAAGATACCCTGCCCCAACTCACAGCCAAGCCTGCCTGCAATGTCGGTCATCTGATGAGTTTTAAAATAAATAGGATGCAAAAATGTAGAGATGAACCTGAGAATGGTTTTGTTGTTGTTGTTTAAAACAAAGAGAGACAAATGTAAATGTCAGAGGAAAGATAAGATCTAGATGTAATAGGATTGTCCCCTTCCTGGTTATCCTAAAAAGAAGAAGGATCATGCATTCAGGGTCTATATTACTGTTCTCAAATGGCTTGCCTGCCACTCTAGGTTGACGCCTGGCCTTGCATGGTTGTAAACAAAGCTGCTTTGCTTTCACTTCTCTGAGTCTTCAGTACTCTCATGGGGTGAGAACCGTTGTTTCGCATAGTCCATTTAATCATCACAATAATTCTCTGGAGTGTATGGTATTAGTCCCATTTTATAGAAGAAAGACTGAAGCACACACAGAATTTCCCCAGGTACAGTTAATGTGAGTGATAGCTATAACTGGGGTTGAACACAGAGAGTCTGGAGGTAACTATTCTCATACCTGTCACTTTCCTGGGAGATTGTGCCCCCACCAACACCAGGAAGGCACATTCATCCATTATTAATTCAACCTACATTTTCTCATCACTCTCAGCAGGCTGTTGTAAGCTGAATCATTTCACCTAAAGCAATCTAACTATGCATTGCCCATGGTAGTTGCTCTGATTGTGTTTCAAGGCAGGCCAGATGGCTCACAAGGAAGTAGCTCTGTCTTGAGAATACAACACAGTCCCTGGGCTATAAAGACAGAGCCAAAGGAGAAAGTGGTTGGTATGCTTCACGTTTAGAGAGGAACAGAAATGAACACACAGAGGGATTGCTGCTCCTGTCATGACTCAACAGAAGGGCTCTGGATATCTTGGGGCATTCTATCCTCCCAATAACTTTCCAAAGTGGGTAACTCACATTTCTGCCTCCACTTTATGAGGAAACTGCAACACTCATGTTTGGAAACCTGCCAAGGTTGCAGTGTCCACATATTGGCTTATGCAAGCATCATATCACAATCATGCAGGAGTATCCAGTGCTTAAATTCATATTTTATATGTAACTTGTTTTTAAAACCCTAAACGAATAAACAAAGAGTCTTACTATGGTATAGAATAGAAAATCTATATGGATAACTGCATCCGGTGACAGAATGGGATCTCTAAACTCAGTTGTATGCATGAACTTAAAATCAAGTTTTATTCTACTTCAAAAATTGGAGATTATCAAGTGTAAGAGGTGTTAATGTTTATTAGCACCAAACTGAGACTTTGCTATTGGTGAAATCAGAACTGAAAGAGAAGTTAAAAGGCAGTATTTTTCTCACTACGTGAAAGTGATTAGGAGTTCCCCCTTTGTACCACCTGAAATATCACCAGGGGAACCCACTGGTTCAGAAACCAGCTCAGAGAAGTGCTTCTGGGGTCTACGATACACTGCTTGCTGGCAATCCAGGCCTGAGCAAAGGTCTAAATACCAGAAGGACCTTCACTGGTAAAATGCTGATAGCCTAGTGTCACTTCAAAGGGATCATAATGCAGCAAACCACCAAATTTAAAGCATAGTATATAATGGATAATCGGAAGCCACTGCCATTGTTAAACTTTGCACACAGGTTTCTGGCTTTTTTGGATGTAAGATGATAAAAAGTGTTACAGAAAAAAAAAAAGTATTTATTCTAAGCCATAGACATTGGGAAGTAGTAGAAGCTTGTTCTTTAATTCTGTAATAATTTTTTTTTCTCATGCCCAGGTCGTCCCTAAACGAAGACTCGCGGTCACGACCACAAAATACTCTTCCAGACTTGCGTTTTCTTTGCGCTCTGTCACCAAGCCAAACACCAAACCAGAGCCGGCGCCAGGCCCCGCCTTTTCTTGCCCCGCCCCCAGCCAGCGCCCGTAGCCACGCCTCCAACGCGGCGATCCTCCGGATTCGCTGATCCTTGCGTGACTCCCTTTCCGGCGGCGCGATGATGTCACAAGCCCTGCGCCTTCCGCGCCTCTTCGGGCCTGCGTTCGCGCGGAAGGTCGTTCCTCTGACCGGCAAG